CGCCGGCCCGAGCTGCTTCGCGCATGCGCCGCCAGGAGGGGCCGGGCGGGGAGGGGCGTCCCGAAGCCTCTCCAGTGAAACCCGAAGGGACAGGCAGCGGGGCCGCCGCTGCGGGCAGGGAGGAGCGCGTTCCTGTAGAATGCGAGTTCGAGACCGGCTCTTTCCCCTCGTTCCGGACGCCCCGGACCCGGCTGCAACTCAACCTACCACAATCCACTGTCTGCAGGAGTGTCTGCCCCTCCCCCGCTTCCTTCTGTGCTTCCTGATCCCTGACAGGAATCCCACGGCCCCCACCCCAGGGAGCCATGTAGTCCCCATGAGTGTCTGTTGACAACATCGGACTAGATCAAGTGGTTCAGCAACAAGGCGCTGATCACCAGCTTGAGTCCTTGAAATCCCACCTTACCTGGACCCACTGGGCCGTGGGTGCTTGTATTGTTTGAGAAACTCACACCTGTTGCTGATAAGACCTATGAACAACTTCAAATTTTTCAAAACTAATTTTGTATCCTTGAAGAGCATTTTTTTCTGAATCATGACAGCGGTCTGAAGTTGTGTCTTCTCTTGGAACCGGCCCCGTTGTTGCCTTGCCCTACTGGCGCTCATCAGAACTGGAGCAGTTGGGGTGGGTTGGCTGTCTCCAGTCTATTATCGTGTGCTTAACGTTTCTGCCCAAACAATGGCAACAGTGAAAGTTGCCCCCTGCCTTCTTTCATCCCTGCACTGTAATTAACCAAGTAAACAATAGGCCCTTATATACAGGTACTGGCAGGAAGCCTGTCCATCCGCTGAGCCAGGGCTAACGCTGTAGGGCCAGCTTATTTTTTTTTAATGACTCATATTTCTATCTTAAAGATATATCGCCGTAGCTCTGTGAACCACCACCTTGAGGGAGCCGCTCTGTGAGGACAATTGTCTAGACCTTCCCCTCTGTGTCTCTGCTGGGCTTCCCAGAGAATAAACCCTGCTGCTAGCTGGGGCTGTCTTGTCCTGTCCTGACTCAGAGAGATGGGACTGAAAGAGGGATTTTGTTGGAATACTGGTGCTGCTTGCAGCTACCAACCCCTAATTTTAATCGTCAGATGCAGACATGCAAGTATTTTGTCGACCCGATTAAAGCCCTGCTTTTAAAATTAGGTAACTGACTTCACTGCTGTCAGAGGATTTTTCTCTTTTCTTCTTTTTAGACGCTTCCTTTCTCTGTGTTCCATTTTTTGCTATTAAAAAAAAAAAGGCATACTATTAAAACCGGTAAGAAATGCCTGCACCATTGAAAGATCTGAAAGATAAAGACACCTTATATTTGTATTCTCTTGCCGGATGCCAAAATAAAGCATATAATTTGGGTGTTTTAGTCCCAACCTAGAATTAAAGGCTCGATCCCTATTGATAATTCACAGAGAGCATGTTTCAGAGGAAAGGTAGATCTCACGACAATGCAGAGTGCTGTCTCTCTCATCAAGTGTAATTCTGCTGGAGAAATAACCGGCTGGCTAGCCTTAAAGTCAGTTAGCTGAATTTTAAAATTTCTCGGGAATTTTGTTCACGTCTCTCATAAAACTGGGCCATATTTTATACCAAAAAAGATGAATAACTTCTGTGAAATTAAGACAATCATTAAGACATAATACTGTCATTATGCCGGAAAGAAACACATCATCAAGATGCCTAATGAATAAAGAAACCTGTTCGTCGTGAGCTGATTTGAAAATAAAATAAGTAGCTAAGAAATAAAGTGGTTTTATGAAATTAATTGCTAAAACAGTTGACCCCAGGTAACACATTTAACGAAAAAACACTTGTTTTCTTCTCTCTTACGTCCTTTCTTCCAAGAGTCAACCCAATGGGTTTGACAGAAAGCAATTCATTTCAAGAAATGGGGGCAAATACCTGTCTCCAGCTGGTTTAAAGGCTTGGAATTGATTGTCCTGCAGTCCAGCCATGGGCAGATCAAGCTTTGCCCACACAGAACATGAGCCTAGAACACACTCACTAAAACACAAACACACACACAGCTTGTATTTGCACTTTGGGCAGAAATATTAATAAGTCAGCATTGGTTCTCCTGCGTTTTGGATACTTAACTCTATCAAATCCATTATTTCAGCATTTACTGCACACCTAAACAATGAGCCCCTTTTGAGGACAGCCAGCTTTTTTTTTGATTAATGTCTTCGTTTAAAGTCAAATTGTAATTGTGAGTAAACTCTACTTGACAATAGGCAGAAATGATGGGAAAACAAACTGAAATTAGGGTGTGGTCCAAGTTGGATTCCACCCTAGTTCCCCCGGGAAGGAAGAATCCTTTCCCAGCAGAAATAGAGCAATACTCGTTCATTTAGAAACAGCCAATACTGATTCTCTAAGAAGAGCTGTTAAAAAGAATTTCTTTATGATAGCAAGGAAACACCAGGCAAAAATACCACAACCGGCTTCTGGTTCTACATTTGTCAAGCGGGCTATTTATGGACCCAGACTTTTGATTTGTAAAACATCGTGTCGGGGGTGTGCCATCCTTTTGTTAATTTCCAGCTGAACAGGCTAAGCAGTTGTAAATACCTCTTGTGAGACTGTGTGTCACTTACTCTCCCACACAGAAGCCGTCTAGTGACCCACTGGGCAGACTGCAGAGAGCCGCCGTGGAGAGCAAAGTGGGATCGGAAAGGTGGCAGGAGGTGATGGCCGTGGAGGTGGCCGTGGCCTGGTCCCTTAGTTACGCTGGCACCATCCTTCACGCTCGAAGTTGCGTGTTCTCCAGGCCTTCCTCGGTTTACCATTCTCGGGAAGTAGTCTAATGGCTACCTTACAGAGTGTGATGAGGAAGCCATGGAGGCTCATCGTGACAGGAAAAGGATATGGAGGTAGATGTTTCTTAGCATTTCTTAGAACTAACAGAAACCGTGGCGATACTAAGAAAGCATGCTTTGACATACCTACCCCTCAATGACCACACGCGTACAGAAATACACACACATAATCACACACAGACACACACACACACATCTGTATTAAAAAAATTTCAAAATGGTTGCAGGTATTTCATTCACAAGACAGTTAAAGGCGTTTCCCACCGAAAGGAGGATTAACTTACCGGAGGATTCTGGGACTGCAGATGGACACTGCGGCAAAATCCTAAATTCGTCGAAAAAAAATCATTTCTGGACTCCAGCTGCTAAAAATAATAGAATTATAGCAAATCATGAAGGAGATGAAAACAAGCCATTTTCACATCCCAAAGTGTTTGGATTTGGGGGGGTGGATTCTTTTCTTTTAAATGATGTCTTAAACAATGCAAATTTTAAAATGGCTTTTCTTTTCCAGAGCACGCAGCGCCATGAAATCGATAATATTTGATCTTTCGGTTAGTAGGCATCATGGTGAGCTATAGCAGGGACTGCAGACAGCAGACATGTTCTTGTCAGCTAAAAAATTTCATATTGGTTTTGCATCCATTGAGACTTAGAGAAGGGGATAGCACCCTGGTTTTTGTTTAGCTTGCTCCAGGCTATGGGGGGGGGTGACGCGAACCCTCATTTTATCCACATAGACATGTCTATTGCTTTATATATATTAAAAACAGGGGGTCTTACTGGATCCTAAACAAAAAATTATGTAAAAGGAGTGGCTGGTGTGATTATAATCCCATCATGCAGGGTCCACGGTTCCTATTTAGTGAAATTTCGCAGAGGGCAACTTCTTAAGAACATCCCCGCTGTGCTGAATGAAAGGCATGAACCAACCAAAGACAGAATTCATCTGTGTTTATATTTTACAAACAATGGGACACCCACTCTTTGTATGGCTTTTCTCTCCCCCACCTTATTATTTCTTGAAAACTGCTGCATCTTCCCCCGCCCCTCGCAAGCACTCACCTCCCCAGCACTGCAGCTCGTCCTCTCTTGCTGGTCCTTCCTCTTCCTACCCGCTTTCACAAATTCTGCTCGCGCCATCTTTGTGTGGGGGGCGATGCTCTGCTAACTTCACTCAGCCATGCTCTCGCAAATCCGTCCAGAGATAGAAAATTACAGTGTGCGTTGGGGGCTTAATTTGCCTGGTTTTCTTCCCGTCTTCCTTCTGACATTGAAAAATGGAAATGACAAGGGGGAAGCCCCCCCAAAAGAGATATTTCTATTCTTTCCATAACCTGTTGTATACAGTGGTGATAAAAATTATTATTAACATAATAGCAACAGCTGCAGCCTAAATAGAAGCTATGAGATAATTAATGTGCTACAACAAATTAATTTGGTGCAGGTGTTTCTGTTGTGAGCAGGGTAACCCAGGCCATATAAAGTCTAAATACAGCGACCATCCCCGCCTTGAGAACAAAATGTGGAACAAAAGTCCTGTCCGACAAATGTGGCTGTTATTTAAAAAAAAGAAAAAAAAATCCTCCCCAACTCAACTCAATGGTTTAGTTACAGAGGATACAGTGTTCTGTGTTGTGTTGTGTGGTGTGTGTGTGTGTGTGTGTGTGTGTGTGTGTATCACAGTCCAGATTATTGCATGTTTAAACATATGGAGGTTTTATGCTGTCACGGTCAGAAAACATATGGACCAGCCATAGGGTTTTTTTTTTAATTAAAGACAGACTGTCATATTTAAGAGCTCCATTAGTTTAACAACAAAAATTATGTGTAACTGAAGAGGAAATAAGGGTTGAGTAGTTCCTTATCTGAAGGAACACCTTACAGACAATGCTCACCCGCTATCGAGGAGACATGTTAACAGGGTGACCCTCTCCACTGACATGGCCCTCACCTGCTATCCAGGTGAGTGTTCAGGGAGAACTGCTGCTGGCTAGACCAGGAGAATGTTCCAGAAGCACCTCATATCTCGGTAGCACCAGCTGGGACCTGGAGAAAGCCATGATGCCACGCCACGAGCAAGCGTTTGCTTTCTGTTTTATATCATTCAGCAAAAATAACACAGAGGGGTGTACTGATTGATTTTTTTTAACTACTTGGCTAAAAAAAAATTTTACTTAAAAATATAGTTATTTCTGATTTTTCTCCCAGTAATGCTACAGTTCACATGTCGATCTTAATTTGTTTGTTAAAAAGCAACACACACACACACACACACACACACACACACACACATACAACCATGGTCAAGTTTCAAAAGTTTTTATTCATTGAATTTTACTGTATTGGATGATTTTTATCATTAATTATAAGCCATCAGTAGGATAAGTTGATTTCTTATAGAATCCATACATTTTAATATTAATATTTTGGTACACTTTTACAGAAATTTTAGCTCTAAAAGATTCAACATTATCCAGACAACGCTGTTCTGTCAACACACATAAGGAACACTGCAGTCGTATAGTATTTCTTTAAAATCTGTCTTCTTTCTAATGCTCTATCTGAGCCACCCCGCCTACTACACAGAAGTATTGAGTGTTTACCTTGCAATTGTCAGACATACGCCTTATTCCTTCCTTTGTTTTTATCAAAGCCTTTTTCTTCACAGTCTCTGTTCCAGTATACTCAGATTTCAAATTTACAAATCTATAATTTGTATTAGGGAATGGGAGAGAGATTTAAAAAACAAAAACAAAGGCCATGGCAGCTTTCTTTTTTAAAGGAGAAGGAGATAACCAATTCTTTGAGAGACATAAGGAAAGTAGACAGGATGAAAGTGTCATGTCTGCTGGGATTTCCCTAGGGTTTCTACATTAGCCTAAGCCAGCCCAGGACAAGGCTCTGGAACCATGGAAGTGGTTTGATTATGAAATCTGTGTGGGGAAACACAAAAATGCTTTCATTTGTGTTGCCGAGAGGACTTGCCTATAGTAAACCTTTCTTCTTTCACTGTGAGATCCTTGAGAAAGCGAAGCCTACAGAGTGTGTGTTCCTCACTCCTCTTTATAGCTCTCCAAACCCAGCCCCAGCAACCCCGTCGTCTTCAGAGTTCCTTTTCTGAACAGGACTCTGCACAGGCTTGAAACAATGTTTCTAAAATGATGATTACTGTGAGTCGATTTGTTTCTGGGTGGCTTGTTACATGGGAAAAGCAAACAAACGGAGCTAACATGCCTTGATTGTTGGCTTGATTGTGACAATCACACCACACTATAGCTTTCTCCTGAGTGTGCATTAAAATTTCTAAATATTTTTAATTTTACAATGTACTTAGTAATCTTATATATGTAGTCCTTGGATGTATATTTATTTGAACTGCACCAGTTTACTGATGTCAATACTTAGACTAAATATCAATGAAGCTCATTTAAGATTAAAAACGAGTACAGCCGTTAAATTTTATCTCTACATCTCCCAGCTACTTGTGTGCATGTTTTGGATTCTATTTGCCCCACTCACCCATTGTTATAGAGCTCTGAAATCATTTACATAATCTGCTAAGCCAACCTTTTACCCATTCACAACCTGTGTAATTTGCAGCTTGATTTATTGTCATTGCTGATCTCTGTGAGCCTTTTAGAAACTCCCACCTTGATCCTTTCTTCTGGCAGATTCAAATGAACCTCCATCGATAAGGATTCCCACTCATGCTTCCCAGTGTAACTAGACTATACACCCCACACACAGTGTAAACAATACACACAGGCTCCTGCAGCACCAATTTTTCTTGATAAGTTTAACTCCTTTGTAAATATCCTGTGTCTTTTCCATCCTTACTAAGTGAACAATGAGAACAACGGATGTCTTTTACTGTCAAAAGATTCTGAAATATCTTGTTTTTGAAGAGTGGCCTTTGGGGACTGGAGAGGCGGTGCCACAGTTAAAAACACTTGCAACTCTTCCTGAGGGCTGGGGTTTAGTTCTTAGCATCTACCTCAGGGGGCTCACAAGTAACTTAAGCTCCAGGGTATCAAGTGCCCTCTTCTGGTCTCTATGGGCACAACACTTATATGCACATACCAACAGGCATGCACATTCTAAAAAGAAGAATGTTTACTTTTGGTAGCTGGAAAGATAGCTCAGTTGGTAAACTGTTTGCCATACAAGAATGAGGACATGAGTTCAATCCCCAGAACCCACATAACGAAGTCAGGCATGGTAAACACACTTTTCAATCCCAGCATTGAAAAGAGGGAAATTCCTGGGGCAGATTAATGATGGGGTTCACAGCTAGCCTAGCCTAGATGGTGAGGTCCAGGTCATGTCTCCAAAACAAGACTTATCTATCTATCTATCTATCTATCTATCTATCTATCTATCTATCTACCTCTCTACCTACCTACCTATCTATCTATCTATCTATCTATCTATCTATCTATCTATCTATCTATCTATCCATCCATCCACCACCTATCTCTCATCAATCTACCTACCCACTTACCACCTACCTGGCTACCTATATGTCTATCCAAATATGTGGATAATGTTCCAAAAGTTCCTATGTAGGGCTGGGATGCAGCTCAGTGATAGAATACATGCTTAGCGTGCCCTGGATTCAGTTACATGGAACAGAAGCCATAGACACCAGGAGAGAAGAATCTATCTGAATGAGGCTCTCAAATGACTAGTCCATACTAGGTCCCCACAGCTAACTCAGGTGTTGTAGTCATTTCCATTTTCATCAGCAATGCCTGAGTGTCTAGTCTCCAATAGTCTCGTCAAGGGAGGGCATATGACAGACACTGCTGTGTCCCATTCACACCCTGGACAACCACACTATAATGCTATAACTCGCCATAGAAGCAGGCTTGGCTTGTGTGCGGTGGGTGAGGGGAAATGGGTAGGCAGAAGTGCCTGAGAGTTAATTCCCTATGAGCACCACCCACCAGTGATGGGAAGGGACTTGGTGAGCGAGTGCCATTGTTTTCTTACTTGGAAAATTCTGAAGCGCACCGCATGCTGTCTCCCTCAGGTCCATATCCAAGCTCTACAAGCCCGTGATGGGCGCTGGCGGGTAGCATAGCCTGACTTCACTTCTCCTTTTCATTGCTCTCCAATCTTCTACTGGCTTTCCTTCAATCAGGGAGGACCCAGTGGGACAGCATCTCATCAAACTTTTACAGTTTCGAAAGTGATACTTTGCAATTTGAATCTGCATTTCTCTTTTGAGTAAAGCCAAGTATATTTTCACATATCTGAATATTTTCACTATGCTGCCTTGGCTGTATATATTTTGCCTCTTGGTCTCTTCAATTCCTATAAAATCTCAACACTAGAAATATTTGGTCCATGTCTGTAATATTCTATCTATTTTGTAATATTTGGACTATTATGTATATTTGGTCTATGTCTGTAATAACTATGATTTTTTTTTCAGTTTGTGAGGTCTGTTTGTATCTTGTTTGGCTTCATTTTCTTTAATTTTTCTTATTTTCCCTGACCCTTTCTTTAACCATTTGGGAGATTTTATATTTGTTTATTTATTTATCATTTGTTTAGTTAGTTAGTTCTGACCATTGAACCCAGGGCCTCATGCAATAGGCAACTACTTTCCTAGTCTAAGGTTTTATTTTTATGTACACATATTAATGAGCCTTTCTTTTCATCTCTCCCGCCTCTTACGTCACAGCCAGAAGCACTGTACATGGGTGACTAGATGGCTGAGCAGGTAAAGGTGCTTGCAGCCAAACCTGACGACCTGAGTTCGATCCCTGGGACCCACATGGAGAAAGGAGAGAACGGGTGCCTCCAGGCTGCCCTCTGACCTTCACTTATATGCCTTGGTGTGTGCACACCAACCTACCAATCCAAAAATATCATTCTAAAAATGCAAAGAGAAGCCCTTTCCTATACTCCAATAACTAAAAAGAACCCAGTATTTTAGAATACCATATGTGTTTAAAATTTTTGTCTTTATTAGGAAGTTAGCCTAAGAGAGGTTCCCAAACCCCCATTTACTATAGGAATATGGTCTATGGTCTTCTTCCAGAACCACCCTTCATTATGAAAATATCTTTAGGTTAATTTGTGTCTGATGTTATGCCTGGCCACATAAACCTACTTCCTATTTCTTCTCGCAAATGACGGTAAGTATTTCCTCTTCACTCAGCCTCTACTTCCCCTGCAGCAGAGAAACTTCTGTGTCCTCCCTACCTACAGTTGCCTTGAGGTATCATTTGACTTTCTCAAGTTCATACATCCCTAGTTCTTTCTGTATTGTCCTATGCAGCAGCACTGTGCACCCTTTCTCAATGTCTTTGGACATCACCAGCTCCTAAAATAGCAATGTTACTTTTTTTTAATTTCAAACTAAAAACTAACAAAACATATCGAGAGGGCTCCTAATTTAGTAGTTCTTAGAAATCTGATTTCTACAGCTCATCACACTGTCATTTTCGGTCTATTTTGCCTTAATAATTGTTTATTCAGAAAAAGAGAAGGGTGGAGAAGAGGAGGAGGGAGGGTGGGAGGGAGGGGGCGTGGCTTTTATTTCTTAGATGATGTAAAATGCCCAAGAACTTAATTAAACTTAGTTGTTTTCACCAAACTAGACTAACCAGAAGAATTGAACCAACTTTAAAAAACGGATTGCTAGCTATCTGTGTGACCATTGTCTTATTTAGGGTTTCTATTGCTGTGAAGAGACACCAATGACCACGGCAACTGTTATAAGGAAAACATTTAACTGAGGTAGCAGCTTACAGTTCAGAAGTTTGGTCCACTGTCATCAAGATGTGGAGCATGGCAGCATGCAGGCAGACATGGTGCTGGCTACATCTTGATCAGAAGGCAACAGGAAATAGGGCATCTCACTTGGAGTAGCTTGAGAATAGGAGACCTCAAAGCCCACCCCCACAATGACACACTTCCTCCAAGAAGGCCACACCTACTCCAACAAAGCCACACCTCCTAACAGTGCCACCCCTTTTGGGAGCCTCTTATATCCTCTAAGAACATTTCTTAGGCACGTGTGCTGTTTTAAGCTACCCCGAGCCCACTCTGCTGCTGACCTTGTCCAAATGGGGGAACCATTCTTAGGCGGAGAGCACTTCCTGATCTTTGGCCTTCTCCAAAGAGGAAGAGTCCCCTCTCAGAAGGAAAGAACAAAGCCTGCCTCATTCTGTGCATCTGATTAGCTGTCTTGCCCTTGAACATGAGCTAAGGGAGGCAGCCATAGTCCTCACTCTCATGGGCCTTGAAGCCCCATCTGCCTGTCTTGAGCAGTACACTAGACACTCTGTGTGCCTGTCTCTGCTCACCTGAGCTGGGAACAAACTGATGGCTGATACCACCAACTCTGGGATCCAGATTTACCCAAGAGACAAACCTCTGGGCAGGTCTGCAAAGGGAGTTTCTAGACTGCATTAATTGGGGTACGAAGACCCTCCCTGAAACGTAGACAGCACTATTCCAGGGACTGGGGTGCTGACTCAAAAGGAGGAAGCTAGCGAGTGTTAGCACTCACCTCTCTCTGCTTCCTGCCTGGGTGCAATGTGACCTGCTGCCCAGTGATCCTGCAGCCATGCTTTCTGCACCATGGCAGACCATGCCTGTGAGCCCAAATAAATTTTCCCTTCCTTAATTTGATTCTGTCAAGTATTTTGTCACAGCACCAAGCAAAATGATTAATACAATAACACTTTTTGCCTGTTAGGACCACAAAGCCGCAGATCCCCTGGGTGGCTAGCAACCTTCACGACTTTTTCTTGTATGAAATCAGGAAAAGAAAACCCAGTGGCAAAATGCCATCCCTAATCCCTCTACAAGTTTCTAGTCTCTGTGGAAACTTCTGTCGTCACCGCCCACCTGCTCATCAGAATATCTCTCCCCAGTGTCCCAGGCTATGGGATTATAAGGCAGCCGCTATAATAGTTATAATAAAGGTGACAATGACAGATCTCAGGGAAGTGGGCCTGTAAAGGGAGGGAGGGAGGGAGGGAGGCGCATCAGAGGGACTGGGCTTGCCTGGCTGCTAATGAGCACGCAGAGGGCTTTTCTTGCTTATGGCTGTGAAAGATGGGAGGCTATTTGAAGATGAGGCCATCACAGAGTCTCCTAATGTGGCCGATGCCACGTTCAGAGAATGCCTTGATCTTATGCTCCGGGAGACATAGGTGCTCCGAGGAGTGAGTGTTTACTGGATGCACCCACTTCGGTAAGACCACAGGCTAGACCACAGGCTAGCCAAGACTCTTAACATCAAAGTTATGCACAGGGTGATTACACTTAATTGACTTGAGTTTCATGGATAAGGTTTTCTGGCCTCCCTGCTTCGGGTGAAAGAATAAAGATCCCAAGTATTGTTGTTAATTCATTTCTAAAGGATTTCCAGCATTCAGAGTGCCTCTTGGATTCTCTTTTCTTAAGAGGTAGGGATCTTCTATGGAGGAAGAAAGAGAGAGAGGAGAGAGAGAGAGAGAGCTCACATGCACATGTGTGTGTATATATCCATGCACACAAGGACCAGCGGTCAAGTTCAGGGGATGTTCCTCAGGAACTGTCCACCTTGTTTGTAGATACAGGATCTCTCACTGGCCCGGAGCACCAAGCAGGCTAAGCTTGCTGGGCATGGAGCCCCCTGTGCTGGCTCCACCTCTCCCAAGCTGGGACTGCAAGCATGAGCTGCCATGCTGGCCCTTCTGGCCTGAGAGCAGGGTATTGTCCTGGCAAGAGAAGCACCTCCCCAGCACCACCAGCATCTCTGATACAGGTGTGGCTTCGGCTCACTCGGACAACTGTGTAAAGAAGGCCCCGCCTCTCCACCTTGACTGTGGGGCTGTGGCCCTCAGCAGGGAGACACCTGCCATTATTCCTTGGAATCCTGAGATGAAATCAAGCCACAATCTTGCCTCAGGTGCTTAACATGGCTGTGGAATTCCCCTAGGCCTGTGCCCAGGACTGAATCATCAGCCTTTCCCTTCCTTTTCCACGTCAAATGTGGTTATTCCTGAAGCCTGGCTGTAGAAAGGCAGAGATGCTCCTGGTATGGTGGATCGCAGCAGGCTTTCTGGAAGATTCTTGTAAGAGGGATAAAAAGCAAGGTTTCCATCCTTATCCAGTGTTTGTTGAGAAGCCAGAATCTGTAGGGAAATGAGGAAGGGTTGCTGGTGAGGGCTTTCTGTGACAAGATGGGAAGGTTCTCCGCGGAAAACAACACAACCGGACTGGTGTCTCCTAAGCTGCGGGCTTGAAAATAACAATGACAGGGGACATGAGCTCTGCCTCAGTGAAGCTGGGTTCGGGATTTTGTTTTCTGGGCACAGGGTCTCTCTACGTAGCTATAGCTGGCCTGGGACTTTCTATGTAGATCAGGCTGTCCTGGAACTCACAGAGATCCTCCTGCCTCTGCCACCCAAGTGCTGGAATCAAAGGCGTGCATCACCACACCTGGCTCTCAAGGAAGCTGTTATGAAATTATTCACCTATTTTCTTGTGAACAGTCCTCTCCTCTTGAGTCACTCCGAGATGAACCTCCTGATAGGCGCCTCTAAAGGGCAGCATGTTTTACCTGTGACTAGGCGCAGGTAGGAGTCAAAAGGCACAAACAGAACCGGGGGGAGTTTGTTCCTGTTGGCTTTAGCTGTCCTTACACTTAGTTTGTTATGAGGCACAGTCTCATTTATCCCAGACTGGCCTTGAACTTGATGCGTGGCCGAGGAGGACTTGACCTTCTGATCTTCCTGCCTCTAGCTCCCAGTGCTGGGACCACAGACTGCACCGCTGTACTCCAGTGCAGAGGAGGAAATGCAAGGCCTCGGGGATGAAATGCAGGGCCTTGAGCATGCTAGGCGAACACTCCACCAACCCAGCTACACAGCAGCCCGGCTCTTACAAACTGTGATTCATTCAGCATAGAACAGGAATCTGATTTTTACCTTACATGCTGGCAGTCATCTATCAACTTCTTCTTCAAACCTCAATTTACGATTATTTATATGTGGAGGTCCGAGGACAAGCCGCGGGACTAGGTTCTCTCTACCACGTTGGCTGTCAGGCTACCAGGCTTGGCAGCAAGCACCTTCACCCTTAAAGCCCTCTCACTGACCCCTGATGTTACTTTTTAAAGCGTTAGGTGGATGAATGACAGCTCAGAATCGCTGATCTTACTTACAGGCCTCACCTCCCGTTCGCTGGTGTGTACTGACTGGAAGGAGCCATACACATTCTCGGGAGAACTCTGGGGCCCCATTCTTCAGTATTTTATCAGGAGTGCCAAGGGAATGTTTGAACCTGGGACACAAGTCAGACCAGGGCTTAGATGACCAATACTGTCGCGTGGTCCCTCCCTGACTTTGGTGTCCAGCTAGCAGAACGAGCATCTTCTTTCCTTACTTTACACGTTGCTCCCTGTCTGCTGGAATCCATTTTGATCACTTGTCCAGATACCCAGCAGTGCCTGGGAATGTATTGCCACCTACATGGGATTGGTTCTTAACTGGTGATGGGGGAGGGGATGACACAAACCTTGGGCTCCCTGGGCTCAAACTCTGAGGTTGCAGTCACCCTCCCGAAGCTCCTGTGGGTGGAGGCTGAAGTCACTTTCCAGGTGACACACCCTTCCTGGGCTCCTAGCTTCCCTGTCTCACTGCTTTTGTTTCCTCCTGGTCTCCTTGGCAGCACCTTTTACATTAATCACAGGCATGCTGGGCCAGCCTTTATCTTAGAGTCGGCTTTTAGAGAACTTGAGACCACAGTCAACAGTATGGCCAATCCAGGGGCTCCTGTGGTCAGCAGGCCCAGACTTGTAGAGGGTGTGACTGCTTGGTGCGGCCTGGCCTGCTGTGGGAATCTGGGCAGGTCTTGCTTTCTGGAGCCCTGGAGTACTGAGCAGGTGGGGAACAGCAAGACCTGACTTTTCCTGTACATCTTAGAAGGCTGATAAACCCAGCTTGGGACCCTCAGGCTGAGGCTCTCTAGGCCCAGGGAGAGTGAGGCTACCCCTACCCCCTCCGTTCTGCATGCTCCATGTATAAAGTTTGGATTAGGTCACAAGACAGACCTGCCTTTGCTTAAATCCTAGTTCCTACCCAGGTTTTCTTTGTCTCCAGAGCCTCTAAGTTTATGGCTTAGGTAGATACACTCCTCCTCCCTCACAGCTTTGGGCGGTGAGGACCAAATAGGAGGTTTTCCACCAGCAGATGTGGCCAGTGTGAACAGACAGGTTAGCTCCATCCTTGGTCATTTTCTAGCTGTGAGAACCTGGGCAAGCTGCGGCCTCTTGGAATCTGTCTCACTTCCTCTCCCAGGCAAGTAAATCCTCCCCTCACAGGGGAGCTGCAACAATGGGGTGGAGTCATCACATGATAGGCAACATTGTGTCCTCACAGAAAACCTCCAAAGAGTATAGCGACTCTGGGCGCTTACCTCTGTGCCTAACCATGTGAGTTTAATTCCCAGGACTCAGCTGGGGAAAGGAGAAACCCACCTCTCCCAAGGTGTCCCCTGACCTCCACCTGTGGAGGTCACCTCCACCTCCTCCATGGCATTAGCACGCCACCCACATATGCCACCCACCCACCCACGCTCACATGCACACAAAATAAATGAGTGCAATTTAAAAAAAAATACTAGTGAGTGTGATTTTTTTTTTCTTAAAGATATTTCAACTCGTGTCTGTGTCGAGCTGGACGGAGATGTGTGTGATTAGCTAGATTTAGCACGCATGTGCTCCTTGCCCACGTGTGCTCTGTGCCCACATGGGCTCCATGCATAAAGCACTGCCTGTCCATGTGGCTTAAACAAAACTTGCTTTGGGGATCAGGAAGGTGATTCATCAAGAGGAGCAATAGCTTTCTGGGCAG